CCAAAGGTCCAGGAGAAGGTTGCTGAGAGCTCCTGGTTCCTCTGTAGAAATTAGAAAAAAAATGCCCCTTCCCACAAGAAGGCAGGCTGGATATCAACTCCCATTCATCCCTCAGACCCATGTGCCTGTGCAATGAGTCACCTGGGGCCACTGAGAGGGGAGTACTGCTCACAGGTGATGTAAAAAAGAGTGAGAAATCACCCAGGCCTGTGAACTGCATCTACTGTTAAATTTTATGCTTAGACTGCCTGCCCATCTCACAGAAATCAATTTGCCTATGATCTGAGAGAAGCAGAGTTAATGGTCCAGCCAAAATTTTCATGTGTACAGACACCAGCAAAAGTTCTATTACTCTCTGGGATACAGTGTTGTCTTCCCCTTTTCTTCTAGTCTTCCTCTTATCCAGTCCCCAGTAAGAGAAACCATGGATCTATCTTTGTTTTTCTAGTTAGAAAAAAAAATGTATTCAAGTTAGTGAAAATACATTATGCCTTTGTGGCTAGCTCTAGCAGGCCCACCGAAGAATCTCAGTAAACACAGCAAAGCATCACTGGATACTTTATATACACGACCTCTGAATTGTACAAGAACACCACTGGATTAGGAATCAGAAGACTCTGGCAGAAGACTTTGCTGCCAAAACCATCTGTATATCTCTGGAAAGTAATTAACACGAACAAGTCTCTAGGTCTCAGTTACAGTAATAACAATAACTGTGATTGCAACAATAACAATCGACATGCACTGAATGCTTACCATGTGCATCTTATGTGTGGTAACACATTTAACCTTTACAGTAAGCTTATGAGATGCCGTTATTGTCTTCACAGATGCAGAAACTGCCACAAAAGCATAACGTATTTTCACTAACTTGAATCCATTTTTCCTCTAACTAAAAAAAAAGATATGACCATGGTTTCTCTTATTATAAGAGTCTGGGCCTGAGAAGGTTAAGAGGAAGACCACGGGACAAGACTGAGAGGCAGTGAGGCCTCTCAAGTTCACACAGTGAAATGAGGAGGTGGGATCAGATGACCATGAAAGTCCACCCAGTTCAAATGTTCTCTGTAATTCCACTTGACAGAAAGGTGAACAAATACCAAAACTGCTTATCAGATTTTCTAAGAGATTATTACTCTTAGAACAATACTTGTTAGAAATGTTCAATTTATCACATTTTATGTAATTTGATACTATATAGCTTCACATGCAGCAAAGATAGTTAAGGATTTACTTGAAGAGTATGCCACCAAAAAAGGGTGAAACTTTTGCCACCTGATTTCATCCCTGTACTAAATTTCATTGAATGGCCTTATCAAGTACCGCAGAGATGTCGGCTACACAGGAACTAACTTGGAATAGTACAGTGAAATGAAATGTACACCCTGGGTGATCAGCATTTCTGACACAAGTTTAAAAAACGAACTATATGCTTTAAACCACCTTCCCAAGAAAGCCAAAACCTTTGTACTAAAAAGAGAGTTAGCAGAGAGAAGTGATGTTAAACTCCTTGTCCTCCCCTGCATGCTCATACCTACAGGTATGTGAAGAATGGTTCATAACTGATTGACTTTTACCCTGCACAAAACACAACTAAATACTAGACTTTGAGACCAATCAAATTTTCTGAGCTGTCTCCTCTACAATATATGATATAACTTAATGCTTGATCATCCAGGACCACGTGTCCAACGTGAGCGCTTCTGTTGAGTTATGTGTTCTATATCCTGTCAAAATGCAAACGATGAAAACAAAAGTTTACACATCCCCATTTGGAATGATAAGCATATTTGGAAATAAGATTTGAAAATCTTCAGATTGTTAACTACCCATGTCAGGGATTTCAAATTAAAAACTGTAATATATTTACACCTAAGAAAGGTTTTTGTTTAGGTTATTAAGAAAAGTTCTTTTGACCCAATTTAGAATATTTTACTTATTACATTCTAACATTTATGTAGGTGACACTTCAAAAACCATCTCAATACAGAAACTGTCTAAAGAATTCTAGAGTATGGAGTATTCATTGCTTTAAACATGTTAGAAGCAGTTAAATGCAGATTTTACTGTAACCACTATGAGGAAAAATATTTTTGAAAGAAAAGAAACATCAAAACACTTTAGACAAAATAAACTGTCTAAAGAATTCTAGAGTATGGAGTATTCATTGCTTTAAACATGTTAGAAGCAGTTAATGCAGATTTTACTGTAACCACTATGAGGAAAAATATTTTTGAAAGAAAAGAAACATCAAAACACTTTAGACAAAATAAATTATAGGTATATTCAAATTATGGATGAATCTTCGAAACATAATATTTAGTTAAAAAAGCAAGTTGTAGCAGACCACAAACAGTATGACTGCTGACCATAGTTTCCGATTTGCCCAGGACCTTCTTGGTTTGTGCCTGTTATCCTACTGTAATTATTAATAGCATCCCTTTACATGCTCAAAAGTATGTCAGCTTGGATGATAAATTATACAGTCATCTTAAACATGATAAATTTCTGCAAAGCTAAAAACTAAATAAAACTAGCAACATGTACTCTATGAATGATTGTAATAAAATTCTAAAATTAACGCCAAAATCAAAAATCGAAAGAATGATAAAAAAAATATCCAAAGAACATTTGAGGCAGGGGAGAGGTATAGAGCTTGGGATGAGAAAGGAACACACAGGTAAACACAACAGCACTGGTAGTACTCCGATTCTTAAATGGGATGGTAGGTTCATGAATATTCATTTGACAGTTATGTTCCCTAATAATCATGTTACATATGTTTGTTTATATATAAATACAAGTATATAAACATCTCACAATACACTTTTTTTAAAATGTAAAAGGGGTAAAATGGTAAAAAGGGGTAAAACTACCACCCATGATTTTTTAAGGATAGAATAAATTATCGGAGAATTTATTAGCAATTCAATATCCATTCTGATAGATTAGTTGAAAGTGCTTTCTGGCAACCATCTATATCACGTTAGCAAAAGTTACACAGAAAAAAATTACATCTAGTTTGGTGATCAAGGAAAACTAGTTGCTTGGTGAGTTTGAATAGGTGAAGTTTGATATAAGAAAGCTGAGTGAGGATGAGGCAATTGACAAATAGATAACCAAACAAATACATAACCCCAACAACATAAAAAAGGAGGCAGAAGACACAAAAGATGTATGATGACTGAAATAACTGAACACAAGAGGTAACTGGAACATGAACTCTTTTATCAGAGAGAAGGTCAAGTTTATACAATAACAATGCCTCGAATGTGTTCTGGCACTTGCCAGTGATGGAATATGGTCAGACATTGATAAGAACAAAACCTAAAAATATTTTAGATGTCATGTGACATTAGACTACAGTTAGCAACAATTTATTGTATGATTTGTTAGCAAGAAGAGAGGACTTTGAATATTCCCATCACAAAGAAATGACAAATGTTTGCAGTAATGGACATGCTAATTAGCCTGATTTGGTCATTACATGTTGCATACATATACCCAAATATCACACTGAGCCCTATCGGGCCTTAAAAACTAACGCCACCTTAAGTGACATTATAAGCGGCGCCATTATGGGCCCACAAGGGCGTATTAACGTGGCAGCCTAAGACGGTGCCGGGAGGAAGTAGGGTGGGGGTGTTTGTGGGAACCTTGCCTTAGCCCTTATTGGCCAAATACGCGCATCCGTGCTTGTGAACACTGCGTGATTGCAATAGCCAGGCATTGAGACATGATGCATGCCCTTGACCTTTAAGCTGATAGGATAATGTTAAAACCTCCCCTCCCCATCTGCCTATAAAAGCAAGTGCTTGTGTGATAATAAATGGAATGGCTCGACAGAACCCCCGCCACATCTGAGTGTCCTTTAACTGGGCTGGTTGGGGCCGGCGGCTGTGCTCACCTCTCTTCACGGCTCTCTTCCCCTGTCTCCTTCCAAAGGGGACAGAAGGGAAAGAGGAATCCGGGCCATTCGCTCGCCCACCAAAACGAGGCTAGGGCTGTTAGGGTCAGCTGGCGGCGGACCCGACAGAGCCCCATAAATATGTACAATTATTATATGCCAATTAAAAATGATTTTATTTTTTTAAATTTAAATTTAAATTTTATTTTATTTTTATGGTGGCTGGCCAGTAAGGGGATCCAAACCTTCAACCTTGGTGTCAGAATGCTGTGGCTAACCAGCCAGCACCCTGGTCCCCCCACTTCTAAAATTAAAAATTTAGGAAAGAAAACCCCTAATAGCCAGTTAGCTTATTCATTAAACACTTGAATAAAGAATTCCCAGTAATTAAAAAAAATTTTTTTAGAAAATAACTGCCATGATATATATTATATAGAACCACACAAAATAAATCCATAAAAGTCAACAATCTCACTTCAGTGGCACTTATCAACAGGAGATCTTATTTAACAGAATTATTACAAAACTTATGCTAAGAAAATGAATAATTTTGTGTTTCTGGCATCATTTAAGGTAAATATATGAACTAAAAATATGAAAGTGGTCACTTTATTAAATGGGTGGTTATATTCATCTTTACAAATAGGGATTCGTGCACTTTGGTGTGAATTCAGTTATATCCCTAGTACGTGGTCCCCTCACTAGGTTTTTAAATAGTAAAATAAAACAATGAAATGTGAGTTACTGTTGATGAACACTAGATCTGTTACTATTACCAAGTAAAATAATAATTATTAAGAAAGCAAATACCTGGAATACTTGCAGGAGAAATTGGGCCAGATCGCGACTGGTTGCTTCCTACAGGAGAGCCAACGGGAGAAGGTGATGGCCCCCCCGGGATGCTGGAGAGATGGGGGGACGCGTGTGGAGAGAAGGGCGACTGGGCCGGGTTGCTCTGCTCCCCTTGGCTGCTCGTGGACCCAGATGCACTGACGGCTGAGCTTAGAGTTGCTTCTGTTCCCGTGGGGAGGTCATCGATGGAACCAGACAGGTCCTGAGAAAGAAAGAAAAGGCATATATAAATAGAGTATCACATGAACCAATATCTAATGAAATGACTACTTGAAAATCATAACCAACCCCCTTCAGAGATGAAGTTTTTCTGGGTAATACCCAAATTCAGAGCATGGCCACTTTTTATTAGAATACTTTAATAAACTCACTCATGGTTGAACCCATAAGACTGTGGCTATCTCCTAAAAAAAACATGAGGACAGTTGTACCTCTCTTTCATAAAACCGTCCTTGTACAGTTTTCCTTTCAGCTGTCAGCACCTAGTCTGTCAGTCCTGTTGAAGTGCCATACAAAACAGAGAGGACCCTATGTGGTGACTTACCGTATGAATGGAATGCCTGATTCTTAAAATGATTACTTCAATAAACTAAAAATCGACAGGCTTTGGGTCCTTTTATTTAGATTTCCACATTGGAGGACTGTTTGAATTTCAAACTAGGATATTCTATTTTCTATTCAAAATTTTATATTCACGATGAATAAAAGATTTTATTAAAAAAAAAAAAAACAGTCAAAATTTTAGCCAAACTTTGTGGTGAGAAATTCTTACATTTTAAGTAACTGCAAAGTGCCATTATAATAAAATTAGTGATATGTGTATTTTATATGATACTGTGAAAATAAATCCTTTTGAAGTTATGTTGGCAGTCCTAATGTTATAACTTACTTTTTTTTTTTTTCCTTTTTGTCTTTTTTCGTGACCGGCAACGGATCGCAACCCTCAGTGTTGCGCCCGTACCGGACTGGGACCGGCTACGGGATCGCAACCCTCGGTGTTGCTCCCACACCTCGCTCAGCCAGTGAGCGGCCGGTCTGTATGTGGGATCCGAACCCTCGGCGGGAGCGCCGCTGTGCTTCCCAAGCGGCGCACTGTAGCAGTGCGCCACCGGGCCGGCCCCTACCTTACTTTTAATAACAATTTTATGCTGTTAATACCATCTGAGCCAGTTATTAAAATTCCCGTTTGACCCATACAGAAAACTGAAACACAGAGAGTCAAAGTTATTGTTGAAGGTTACACTACTGAGGACAGAACACAGGTGCCAAAGATGATAAAGGGAAGATGAGAGGAGGGAAAGGAGGAAACTCTCCTGCACCCTCACCAGAATGTGAGGAGGACGGTGACTTTCTCTTGGCCGTCCTCACTGCTTTGCCCCCTGACCCAGGATGGGGCCACCAGCAGCAGGTGCTGGGGATGTGGGTGCAGAACTGCAGTGCCACCCACATCACCAAGTCCGCAAACCGCCAAGAGCAAGGCACTGAATGAGTCCTGATGGCTGAGCTGCAGTGTGTATAAAAGATATTTGTCCTGGTAATCCAAGACTAAATACTGCAGAAAGGAATCAGAAACACCCGGGTATGATACCATCTACAAGGCATATTCAATCCTAATAGATACCCTCCACTCATTAAATTTTTTTTTTTTTCCTTTTTTTGTCTTTTTTTTTTTTTTTTTACTGACCGATAACAGGATCGCAACCCTCGGTGTCGCGCCCGTACCGGGGACTGGCAACGGGATCGCGACCCTCGGTGTTGCGCCCGCACCGCACTCAGCCAGTGAGTGGGAACTGGTCTCCACATGGGATCCGAACCCTCGGCGGGAGCACTGCCACGCTCCCAAGCGGCGCACTCTCCAGTGCGCCACCGGGCTGGCCCCACTCATTAAATTTTACTAATGTTTAATTTTATCTCACTTACTACTGGGACTTCTGAAACTGGGGCTTTGAAAGCTGGTGAAGAAAGATGTTTAAGATTCTAAGAATAAATCTAGACAAGAAATTATAAAAGGGGCAAGGTAAAGCAGACCTGGTTATAGCTCTTCTGGGTACCCTAAAATGTCACAAAGCAAACTCGGGATTAGGATCCCAGTCCCCTGCACAGTTTATCTGTTATAGCATATAAATAACTTTTTTTTAACAGCAAAACTGTCAATGATTATAAAATACATTCTAAAGTATAGTTGATGGGAACCTCACAAAAAAGATGAATGTTACAGAAAAAGTGTCTGGTGCTAAGAAGAATAACATCTTTCTAAGTAGAACAGAATCTTCAATGCTGAGTAATTTTGCTTGTGAAAAACAACACAACAGGAGCAGGGTAGATTGAAAATGTCATGTCTAAAAAGAGTATCATCAAATAGCCAATATAAAATGGGGTATATTCAATCAGATGTTCAGAATTCAGAAATAAAAAATATAAACATTTTTGCCCAGGACACATACACATATTCAGCTGGTACGACTCTGTATTTGACTTCATTATTGGGTTCAACAACAGTCCTATTTAGAGGTTCTGATTTGAATGCAACTTTTGTGAAGCCAGGTAGAAACAGAGGAAGGTTATTAAAGCAAGTAACATGCTACATACAACATAGTATAGTCAAACTCCAGCAATCAAAGCAATTACTGGAGATCCTCAACATAAATCTTAGTACAATAGGTGTGTACACATGCACACATGCCAATGTGCTACAAGAGAAAACAGGACATGGTTTCAGTGCTCTCCGCCACACCCCCAGGCTGCATCACTGTGCATGGCCTCAGAGGTGGGGTAGGTGTGGGGTTGGGAAAGAGTGGTTGCATCTTAGATAATTCTTCCACTGTTTGCCTCTGTTGAGAAAACAGAATAATTTAATCAGGCCCCCTTGCCTTAGGTCTGGTTGTGGGTGGTGCAGTGTATTCTTTGGAAATAAGTTGTGTGTGGGTAAAGTTAGTGCGCATGTGCAGCGCCATGACTTGGCTGGCGCTGACTGCCTCAGGCGTCTGCCGCGTGGGGCCATGCTCTCAAACCTATGGCTCTAAGGACCTTTTGGCCGGTTACCTAGCTCACAGACCTGCATGTGAGGGGTCTGGTGACCCAGCCTGGCATGTGAAGGGTTTGTGACCCTGTCTGGACAACAGGCTTGAGGGGTCTGTGAGCTCCAGACCAAGCCCTAGCTTGACAATTGGCCCAGTTGGCAGGATTATGAGCAGGTAAAAGAGCCCAACAATTGGTGTAGTCGGCAGGATTATGCGCAGGTAAAAGAGCTCGACAATTGGTGTAATCAGCAGGATTATGAGTAGGTAAAAGAGCTTGACAATTGGCCCAGTTGGCAGGATTATAGGCAGGTAAAAGAGCTCGACAGCCTCCAAGGCATTCCCCTCCTAGCCTGATGTAACCAGCTTAGAAAAACAGAAAGGGACACACCAGCAATGGCTCTTTAATGCAGGACATTGCAAGCCATGGCCTGTGGGCTAAAACTGGATCCTGTTTTTGCTCTGCCCACAAGCTATACATTTTCAGACGACTAAAAACAACTAAAAGAATATTGTGTGACACATAAAAAATATATAAAATTCAAATTACAGTGTCCATAACGTTTTACTAGAACATGACCATGTCCATTCCTTTAAGTATTGTTTGTGGCTGCTTTGGATGGCAACACTAGAGCACTTGTGACAGAGACCATATGGCCAAGGAGGCCAAAAATATTTACTATTTGGCCCTTAGAGAAAAAGTTTGCTGACCCCAATTAAAGAACCACATAAACTAGTATCATCTCTACTGCCTGTGCCTCTTCCTTGGGGGGGAAATATGAATTAAGACAGGCCTCAGCTGAACTGCACAATGACCTTACTATACATCTTGATTTGTACAAGTTTTAACAAGAAAGGAAACCTAGTCCATTACTACGTCCACCTGAAAAATACTGAGTGAGAACCAGATGTCATCTTTACCTTTTTTTGAAGGTATCTGCCAGTAAGGATGTGCGTTAGCCTCCACAAGTTAGAATCTCATATGATACCTAACAAATGGATGTTACTAATAAACAAGGGTCAATCAGACAAGAATCAGTTGTGAGGAAATATGCTTTTCATGCTTTTTAGAGAAAAAAAATGGTAGATAACTGGATATAAAAGCATTTTCTATTATAATACATATGGAGGTAAACATAGAAAAGAACGTAGATTCAACTTTTAAAAAATCATCATTGTTAAATAATTTTATGTAAACCTTTCTTTATAAAAAACAAAATGTTACTTTGAAATTTTTGTAATTCTCTGCATGACCTACAAATTCCTTCCCTGTCCTCCCTTAAAATTCCACGTTTTGGTTGAAAGAGTCACACGTTTTGGTTGAAAGAGTCACACTTCATTTGAGCTGCAAAAGCATCAGAAACAATTCTGTTATTCAACAAGCTGATCGAGGAACTATCAAGAGGAAAACATGAAAACGGTGGCTTTCTTTGTGTTCACATGTCATCAGAATTTCAGTGCTGACTAGACCTCAGTGTAACAGAAGAGTAATAAAAAGATATAATTATGATATTACTGTTATACACACACGTAACTTTTATATGTAAATTATACAGAAATATTCCCGCCCTGCACATACACTTAGGATATCCATATGTAGAGCTATCTTAAAACATGCTAATAAAAGAAGTTCAACAGCGGTTTAAGCATTCAGCCTAGTTAACAAAGAAGCTCTGTAACTAATGCTCCTCTAGAGAACAATTTAGTCAGCAGGGCACCAACTCTATTCTTCTTTTATAAGTACTATCAGATCTACGATGCCTGCAAAGAACAGAGAGATCTCACTGCATCTCATGCTAACCAAGGCACCTTCAAGCTACACTGCTTCCATTTATCTTGCCGGAAAGCTGGCAGGTAAGGTAATTGCAGTGAGGACTCTTTTAAGGGCTGGAGTCCTCCTGCCCCATAGCATCACTTAAATCCTTCTTTTTTTTGTAGTAATTGGTAAGGCAATGACTTCATGGGCTCATGCATAGTAAAATCACTATTTTGCCATCGTCATTTAATTTGGTAAAATTTTACTATCGAGTTGGGTTTTTAATATCTGATATCACTTAGACAGAATACTGAATATTTTCCAGCACACCAAAAATAATGTAACTCCTATTATCATTGGTTAATTTGTTTTTTTTTTTTTTAAATCATTGTTTCAAAAACCGAAACCCACAAAGCTGTTTTACTTTAA